TCTGGTGAAAATTTCATGTCATTAGCACCTCTAGTAATATATTTACTGAGAAAAATGTTGACGTGTTCAATACTTATTTTACCTGCTGTATATGTTAACCCCCTTCCCACCTGCAAGTTATGCCTATGAGCAGTTGTAGCTTTTAGCCATTGTTTTGCTAATTTTAGCTTTTATCCATAGATTTGCTCATCTTAGCAGTTAGCTGCAGTTCTGTTACACACACATTTATATGAAAAAGAAAAAATAAGTAGGTCCTCTGAATGGTTTTTTTCTTTAGTGAAACGTTTCGTCTCTTCTCTAAGAGACTTCTTCAGTCTGATGAGTTTCAGGTGAACTCAGCCTTATAAGCACTGCCTCCACCTGGACAAACAGGTTAGTCACATGCAAAAGAGGGCCATTGCCTAACAATAGGCTTGATTAGCTCTATTTAGTCACATGCAAAAGAGGGCCATTGCCTAACAATAGGCTTGATTGGCTCTATTGTTCATAGAGGGTCATGTGCCCCATCACCTGACCCGTGTCGCGTTATGTGAATGTAGTGAATGCAAGTGGGGGTTCAACATCCCCTTGTTTTTGTCCTTCTTTGTGTTGGTATCATTGGGGCCCTGATTCACACCTTTTGCTCACAGGGGGCATTTTATGTTTACACATTTATATGTTCCTATATTGATATACTAAGCTAGTTTACATTTACACATGCACTTTATGCATTTATTTAGGTTATAATGAAGCCAAAAGAATAGTTCAAATCTTTTGGAGCTTGGTTCTGTGGAAATGTTGTGAACAGTAATATCTTACCTGTTGTATATAGCTGTTTTTGTGACAACATTTTGACAAAAAAAGAGTTTAATAGGACCATATTGAGAGTTTTATGAATAGTCAGAGACAAGCCAAGACCAAAGTGATTTGCTGTCATCAGAAAATTAATCTCTTAAAAGCTTCTTAGCGTTTAGAGCGACCAACATCAACTGCTGTCAGTTTCACATTTTTGTTTTATTTACGTAGAATTGAATGGGTATGGGCAAAAGCCAATGGCAGCAGCAGCTAGCTGAAGAGTTCTCAGTGCAGGATGTGGTACTTTTGGCAGGAATTATACAATATTTCTGCCAGAATAATTGTAGTTTAAAACTGGCAGCAACGTATAAGTTAATACAGGAGATGGTAACAACTCTTTCTTTTTGCCCGCTTATATTAGCTGTTAATGTGTCAATCAAATCAAAATTAAACTTAGTTGTTTCAAACTGATGCTATTTACTCACATTTTTTTCCAAATTAAAGCCAAATTTCAACTTCAGCTGCTTCTGAAGGTCCCTATCTCATTTTAACTGAGAGGTGACAGATCCTTTTCTGTAGTAGGCCCAAAACTGTGGAATGACCTACCACTACAGGTCAGACAGTCCTCTTCCCTTGCTGTCTTCATGTCTCGCTTAAAAACACACTACTACTCCCTTGCCTTTGAGTCTGAGTGAGATGGTGCAAAACCTCACCGTGTATCATAACTCCATTCTATGTGTACTGTAAATATAAATGCTCTGTATTTTTATCTGTATTTTGACTGTTATTTTAGTTATGTCCTGTTGTGTCTGTCTACTATACAGCACTTTGGTTGGCCTTGTGCTGTTTAAAGTGCTTTATAAATTAAAGTGGTATGGTATGGTATGGTACGGTACGGTACGGTACGGTACGGTACGGTACGGTACAGTACGGTATGGTATGGTATGGTATGGTATGGTATCTATGGTACGGTATGGTATGGTATGGTATGTATGGTACGGTATGGTATGGTATGGTACGGTATGTATGGTATGGTATGGTATGGTACAGTATGGTATGGTACGGTATGGTATGGTACGGTATGGTATGGTATGGTATGGTATGGTATGTATGGTACGGTATGGTATGGTATGGTATGGTATGGTATGGTAT